TGGTATTATTAAAGTTTAATTTAAATATTAATTGGCTTTCATAAACCGAAATTATTGATTTGTCAATAAATTCAAAGGTAAGGATACCGATGATCAGTTACAAACTAGATCACCCTGTAAATAGTCAAACATTAATAAAGGTAAAAGCCTGATTTACCAGTATATGTTGTAGATATCCTTATAATCGTAAAAATCAATTTCTGAAGAAGCTTTTTTATTTACTTTACTATATTTCTCAATATTGGTCGATATACAATTTTATTTTTTTTTTGACAGATACGTAGTTATGTTTCTTAAGAAATTTTAATACATTTCATTATTATTAAATAATTTAAAGTAAGAAATGCCTAAAGTTTGTTTTTTTACTGGAAGTTCACCGCTAGCAAATGCAATCATGGTAATTTTAATAAATGAAGTTAACAGTTGCGGTTTTGTTGATTTAATTTAAAAACAATACCATTAAACGTATCGTAAACAGCAAAAAAATCGAGTTTAGAGCCAGTTTCATAATCGAACTTAAAGAAGCTTTAAATTAAATGTCGTTTAGAATGCATTGATTACTACCGACTTGTTGTCAAAAATTTCACTTTCTAAACCAACATTACCTTTAAAGTCCCTTTAATTCGATTATAAAACTGGCCCTAAGATCCGATTTTTGGAAACGGAGGCATAAATTTAAACTTCGGTTTACAGCATAACTAGAGGTTAAACTATACAGGGTGTTTGGTCCAAGTCGCCCCGGCTGACAACACCTAAACTTACTTCTTTTTTTCAAAAAGAAAATATTTAAGTAATAATATTCATTCTTGGCTTTCTTAATAAATGTATCAAATTTTTTTAGCACATCTGGTGTTGTCGGAAATGCTACCAAATTTAGTTTTTCAAATGGAACACTCTATGTTTTTTCCTCCAAACAATACGTATAATAATTGATATGAAAAATACTGTAAACCACTATTTATTATCTACATTTTGCGTAACACAAGGCAATCAAAAAACATTTTCAATCTTAGAATTTTATAAGGAAATTGGTCGCGTAGCCTGATTTTTAATTTTAAAGGAAAGGTGTGAATAAAAAAATGCTTGGATACAGTTAAATTGTTAGTTTGACAAATCTAATTTGTCAGTTGATGAGCGAGTTCTGTTATGGAAACTCTTGGATTTTCTTCGACTGATAACAGAACATTCAGATTTCTATTTTCTTGTTCTTCAAAAAGAACCACAGGTTTTTTATTTTTAAGAAGCGAATCTATTTGTCTCAGTTGTTTTTCAATTCGACTAAATTTTCAACGATTTGGGTGAACTCTATTTGAGTATTTTTCTCTATATTGTCTTTCAGCTTCCGCTCTATTTTTATTGCACTTACACAACACTTCAAGCTGATCTACCAATTCGTCGTAATTAATATCATCCATTATTAAAGATCTCAATAAGATTTTTAAATTAGGCTTTGTCAAACTAACAATTAAACGGTATCCAAGCATATTGCTTTTTGCATGAATACCTTGACAAGTAAAATCCGCCTACGTTGCAAAATTTGCAATAAAATTCAATAATTTAAATTGTTTTCTGAGTGCATTATGTAAAGTAAAATGTAATAAATAATGGTTTACCGTATTTTTCTACTGCAATATAGGTGTTCCATTTGAAAAACTAAATTTGGTAGCATTTCCAGCTACACCGGATGTGCCAAAGAAATTTGATGCATTTACTAAGAAAGCCAGGAATGAATAGTATTATTTGAAAATTTAGTTTTTGAAAAAAAAAGTAAGTTTAGGTGTTATCGGCCGGGGCGACTTGGACCGAACGCCCTGTATATCAACATCCATCGCTACCTTAGCAACAAGCAAACAGTTAAATTTTAACTGAGGATTAATCGGGCACAAGAAAATATAAACTGGATACCGCTAACAGTTTTTACAAATTTGTAGATGAAAAATGTGCAAGCAAAAATAAGGAAAAAGACCACCATTTAAATTTGGACGCGACTTGTGCCACAGTCATCGCCACTGCTGCCACTTTTCACGATGTCTTTTCTGTATGAAAGAGAAGAGGAGCTTCTTGGCTAAAAATTGATCAGTAGGGTTCAGTTGTAACACAGATTCTCCTTTTACACAGAAATCAAAAGTTTTTGTCCTATTTCACTTCAAAAAACGCAGTTGCGACGTTGCCAGTGAGGCGAGGGCCAGGGCACGGGTAGTATCAGGTTTGTGAAACATTCTATAATTTTTAGCAAGATTTTGACGAAAATACAAAATAAACATGAATGAGAAAGAAGAATTTGTGTATTTTTGAGGATCGAGTTGAAAAAGTAACAATTTTGAAATTAAAGCTGAAAAAGAATTTAGAACATTAAATTCTGTATTTAGACATTAGGTTTCTAAAGAGCAAATAGGCACATAAAATTTCAATATGAAAACATAACCATTCTATCTATAAAGAAAAAAGAAACATACAAGATCGTTATTTTAATTATTACTTACCCTTCGTTATTCATACAGGGTTATTCATAAATATGAAGCAATATTTGAAAATGATGTTAAATAGTAACTAACTCGTGTCCCATCTCTATTGATAAGAATTTTACAGCCCTCGGAATGTTGCAATGGAAATTAAATTGTTTTTGTAATAACTTTGGAACCATTTGACCAAAGATTATAAAATTTGGAATAGTTACTTGCGAGAACATACCCTTTAGGCTAGTAATTACGAAAACCGGATACATCAACTCAATTTCCGCTTTCAGCAGTTGCAGGTCACATTTTTTGTGTTTTTCCGTTTTTCTGGCCTGTTAACACTAATTTTTTATTAGCAATTTTATTATTTCTAAAGAGTAATCAATTTCGATTAAAAAACGCATAACCTTTTATACCACTAAAATGGACCGTTTTAAAGATATTTTAATTTAAAGTAAGGACTGCACAACTGAAAATGAAAAATATGAATTTTGAATAAATGGTATCCACGGCAACTAATGACCATGGTTACATAAATCCCTGCCAGACATCTTTTAACTTTGACGATAAATTTTTGTGAATTTTTTATGAATTAAATGCTACGAGATCCATTTAGATTTATTCTAAGTCATGTTTGGAGTCTGAGCTAAACTCTTTTATTAAATGTTTTCGATTAATTGTCTAATAATCGTCCAATCTCAAGTTGACAGCAAAATATGTGACCATGGTCATTTGCCGTGGATATCACTCATTCAAAATTCATACTTTTTGCTTTCAGTGTTGTGTAGTTCTCACTTTAAATTAAAATATCTTTAAAACGGTCCATTTTAGAGGTATTAAATGTTATGCGTTTTTTATTGAAAATTGATTATTCTAGTGAAGAAAAAAAAAACGAAAAAACACAAAAAAATATGACCTGCAATTACTGGAACCGGAAATTGAGTAGATGTATCCGGTTTTCGTAATTACTGGTTTAAAAGGTGTGTTCTCGCAAGTAACCATTTTAAATTTTATAATATTTGGTCAAATGGTTCCGAAGTTATTACAAAAAAGAAACAAATTTCCATACCCACATTCCGAGGGCTGTAGAATTCTTATCAATAGAGATCGGACACGAGTTGTTATTTAAAGTAACATAATTTTATAGGTCATTCTTGAGGTTCAAAGATTGCTTCATATTTATGAATAACCCTGTCTAGAGTGTAATAAAAAAGTCTTTCTATCAAATAGGCGTCCTAGTTGAGGACGTATAGGATGATAGTTCCTATTTTAGCTATATCTTAACAAATTATTTTATAAAAATTAAAATATTGATTTATGCAAACTAATTTATTCTATGAAATGTCTCAAAACATCCTAAAATAAGGTGTTGTTGGTGTTTATTAATATAAATCGTTTACCACGGTTTTCTGTCATAATTTACATAAAAATTATTTTGTCATTGTGATATTTTATCTTCCGCAGACAAGTTTTAAATTTCGACGCTTGCTTGATAGACAGACTTTTTGCTCTCACTGTACAAGATCATCAGGAACATTAATTAGATATAACAAAATGTCAAATGTCAAAAAATAAAAGTCCAAATTTTTTGACAGATAGAGCCTAGTTGTAAAAAATGTTTTCTCTCCCTTGGCATATAATTATAAATAAATAAATACACGAGGGTAGGCCCGATTTCTGACTTAATTTAACTTCAGTCAAAATTTAACTGTTCTAATTGCTAATAAGTACATACCTAATAATAAGGTACCGGCGATGATTTGATTGATGTTGCGATGGATTAATCGAGAATAAAATTTATTTGATTTAAGTATGTTTCCTTATTAGACAAAACATTATTTATTGTAACGCAATCAAAGTTTCTTTATCCCCTGATCACAGAATGCGTGTCCGTTTAAACCCGTTTTCCTGTTATAATAAAAATTCTTATAGGTGCCAAATTCACGCTATTCAAAAACGTGTTTCATTTCAAATATTTCAAAATTTCAAATGCTGTAGAAGTTATCACAATTTTTAAGTTAACATCCGACGATATAATATAAATATTTCGTTTTCAAATTGTTGGGATCAAATTTTACTAAAAAATAAATAATAATATTCCCAATAAAAGACATGTTCACAAAATGTGGCCAGATTTCATTTCGTTATTTACAATATTCATTATTATTTTGTCCCGCAGATATTTTTATCAGTTTGTTTTTTGACGAAATTGAAAAAATTCTCACCACAAAAATATCCTCATAATATTTCATTGTCAAACATGTCGCATCCAAACAATGAGATAAAATTAGTTAATTGCGGAGCGGTACAGTATAAAATCCGAGGTAATATAAATCGTGAAATTTACCTCGACTTGACTTGTTTATTGCTGGATCTGATATCAAAAGATTTCCCTGGTCTTTGATGTTTTTAGCGCTTATAAATTTTCAATTATGTGGCAATTTTTTATAAACTTAAAGTGGACGTAAATACGTTAATGAGGCTTATTTATCGTCACGAAAACGACGATTTATAGATGTATAATACCCCAAAATGTGAACTCACCGTCCTGATAATTTCTTTGGTAAAAATCGCCGGAAGTCGACACAACTTCTTCATTTTCTCGTTTCAAATCCTTGGGTTGTGATTTTTCACATTTTTCTAAATTCACGTCTAAGTATGGTCGCGGTAATTGTAAACTATCACTCTTTAATGACTTTTCAGAAGATAATAGAGAGTCGATAGAGAAATTTATTGATTTTTCTGCACTGAGGCGTTTATCACTATCACAGCTTTTCAAATCAACCACTTTTTCATTCATTGTGAGATGACTTAAACATAGTGATTTCAGGAGGCTGAAATAATTTGTCTGAAAAGCTGAAAGGCAGTTTTAAAATTACTTAAGTTCGTCATGGTTTTACACCAATGGAGTGCCAAGAGGCGGAGTTTCAGGAGAGAAGGGATAATTAAGATATATTTAGTTGACAACATGTGGTTTCAATGGATATTAGTTTTTCAAGATATGAAGCTAATTATTTTTATGGATTGCCCAATTACCGTTATGTGTAACCAAAATTTATTTTCATCGTTTAAGCGGCCTAGATGTGAGTCCAAAATTATTTGAATGCTATTTTAATTTTAATCTCTATACTATACATCTTGTAAATAAATAACTAATGCAAAACCAATTTATTTTTTTTATTATTGCTTTGTGTATTTTTATAATTCACCACTAATTGAAAATTGATTGGAATAATGTATCCTTTTAATAATATGAGTTAATGCTCCAGCAATGATCTTAAGAAAAATTAAAGTTAGCTTTTAAATATCATTAAAATAAAAAAACTTACTGCAAAAAATGCAATAGCGAAAGAAATGGCTCCAGATACGACAAACTTATCTCCAATGTAATCTTGAAATGGCTGAATGCAACCTTTCTTATACGTTGGTTCACTGCAATTGGAATTATCTTTGCAACAACTTTTAAGGTGACTTATATTTAAAAGTCTTTGAAAATCATTGTATCCGTCAAATCCGCAACACTTAAACTACAATGACACGTCTGGAAAAAGAAAAAAAAACATAAGATTTAACCTTTCTGTGTATATAATCAAAAAAGTCCTTCCATCCTTCTTGTTTTTCACGTAGAACGTTCTCGAGTTCTAAGTCAATATCTTTCATATACGGCGACGACACATCCTTTAAATGGAAAGCCACTATACCAAAGTCAGCATATATTAAAAAAATCAGAAGAAACATAAATGTGTTCTAGAAGTGCAAACATAATTGTCATCTAATGTAATTTTGTGCTTTACTATGGCTAAAAGAAACTTGTTTTTGGAAAAGGTTCCGTAGCACCCAAGCACTGTCGTAACACATAAAAAAAGACCAAGGGCCAGTAGAATAGCACCAACGTAAACGAGTTGTTTTTGTGTTGCTTTTTCATATTTTAATTCGATTTGTATCCAAGATAACCCAACAGAAAATAATGATAAGCCTAAAGCCTAAATGTAAAGAGTGATTAAGTTTTACCATACTGGAATTGTTTTACCAATATTGTACCATTGAGGATTAATATAGTGACTTTGAAAGAAAAAACTTTCATTTTACTTGACACAACTCATACTGACATTTCATGTTGTCTTTTTAAGTACAACAGTAAAATCCCGTTTATTCAGAAGAGAATAAGGTACAGTTAGTTAGTTTTTAATTAAATTATTTAAAAAAATGCAATAACAAATTTGTCTGTAATATCGAACAGTTTTGAACCACGTGTGTACACACAATTAATATTGTGTAAAACTGTTAAAAAAAATTGTGAAAATTGTAAAAATTAAAATTGTACTATAAGAGTATGTATATCTAATTAATTGCACTTGTTATTTTTGAAAAAAGAGCAAATGTAATTGCGTTGCCAAAATAAATGAGAATATTTATTCTTTTAATTTATTGTTATTGTGTATTTTTTTATTTGTAGGTACAAACTGTAAGTAATTGACGAAGTCATGAATGTTCTTACATTTTTGGACTAATGTGAATTAATAATTATAATATAATACCTGTTTGTTTCTATTAAATTTCTTCTAACTTCAATTTGTTTTTTTTATTATCAAAAAAGAGTAAAGATCTCAGATCTGACTCTTTCTGTTATACGGCATTTGCCTAAAAAACCATCAAAAACACAAATTTTCCACAAACTTGATAATTGATAATTTATAGGAGTAATAATAATCGTGTAAACAAACGTCAAAAAACATAAAAACGAAAAGCACTTTTAATGAAACTTTATAGGTTGATTAAAAAAATGTTAGACCACCAATTCTTTATTAGGTATAGTTAATTTAATTTAAGAAATTTTTCAAGACGATTAAAGAAAACAATAAAAAGTGAATTAGGTGGAGATGACTTTTGTTTCTGATTTCGTTTCCCTTTCTCTATTCAATTTTATGTACAATTCTGCAACGAAATTTTAAAATACCGAAAATGTATCAAGAACGAATTATGTTATTTATACAGAGTGCTTTTAATTGTTTGTTTGTACAGTAATTTTAAGAGGGAATAGTAGAGTACAAACGATGCAAAAATTATTTAACTTGCCTTATCCGTTTATAGAGGGTTTTAGTCACCAAATAAATTTAAATTTGACGCGCAGCCTTAAACATCAATAACATCATCAACAAATCGCTTGTTGGATGCAGAACTAGCTTAGGTCCATTTTTGCCGGTTTTGGACTTATTCGTAAAATACTATCTTGTACATTAAAGAACGCTGCGTCTGTCTGCAGAACTACTTTAAGTCCAACTATAATAGTATACCAAGAGATATTTAAACTAATTTCAAACTAATAATCTCTAGTATTTACATTAAATACCTACTAAAAAAATACTTTCCTGAAAAATTTACATTTTGTGACTTAAGTTACTTCTGCATCCAACAGGCGAAATATACAGGACTTTCATTTCAAAAGGAGCCAGTCTCAATAACTTTTAACATTGAGTAAATATATTTTCAAGCAAAAACAGGTCGATTAGGATCGCGAGGGGGAAGTTCAAAACCAACATTAGTTACATTTTAAGTTTCATCCCCTAGTCGCTAGCCACCTCTACTTTAAAATTTTAAATGGCACCCCCTACTTTTTAAAACATTTTCGAAAAGGGAAAAAGTGAGCGTGTTCAACTGTTAAAGAAAAAAAAAAATTGTTGATTCGTTTTTCAGTTTAGGGTGGTTTAATTTTTGAAATTTTTAGTCCTAGTACCTTTGATTCAACTCAATTTAATTTAAATAACAAATATCTCGATTTGGGTTGCGAACCATCCTTACTTTAAAATTTTAAAAAGCACACCCAACTTTTTGAAACATTTTTGCAAAGAGGAGAAAAAGCTTATCTAACCGTAAATCAAAAAAAAAATTAGTCTTTTTGGTTTTGAGTTATATATTTTTTTAAGTGGGGGCGTGCTATTTAAAATTTTAAAGCAGGTGTGGCTAGCGCCTAGGAAATGTAAACTAAAAAGTATTTTATATTGAAGTCTCCCATCGCAACCCGAGTAAACATTTCAAAAACAAAACTACCCCTAACTCAAAAACGAATTGTCAATATTTTTTTTATTTACGGTTTAGATAAGTTTATTTTCTCCTTTCCAAAAATGTTTCAAAAAGTTGGGGTTGCTTTTCAAAAGTTTAAAGTAAGGGTAGTCAGTGACTAGGGGATGAAACCTAGAACGTATTTTATGTTGGTTTTGAACTCTCCCATCGCAACCCAAATTGACATATTTTTTATTTAATTTTTTTTTATTTTGAGTTGAATCAAAGGCTACTAGGACTAAAAATTTCAAGAATTAAACCACCCCTAACTAAAAAACAAATAAACAAAAAAAAGTAGGGGGTGCTATTTAAAATTTTAAAGTAGGGGTGGCTAGCGACTAGGGGATGAAACTTAAAATGTAACTAATATTAGTTTTGAACTTTCCCCTCGCGATCCTAATCGACCTGTTTTTGCTTGAAAATTCATTTACTGAATGTCAAAGTTATTGAGACTGGCTCCTTTTGAAATGAAAGTCCTGTATAATCTCTGAGGTTTGTTTTTTAATACCTCGTACATTACATATTAAAAAAATCATTAAATCACCAAAAACATCCATAGCAAAAAGTGGACTCATATTAAAAAAGTATGATAATAGAAAGGTAAAAATTTTGCATCAATTTTTTTCATAAAAGATACCACCGAATTTCATTACCTCAAGTTTCGCTGACTATTTCCAATGTAAACTTTAAAATAAAGTACTTGAAAGATGCAAATTCGATTATATTGCGTTATTTTCACGCATTTCCCAACGCTAAAATGCAGGTGGCACTCTAGATCTCCGAAACTATAAACATGCGGGTAAGGCAAGTTGAGTTATTTTGACTTCTTTAGACCTGTGTACTATTTATTACCTCTTAAAATTTCTGCACAACAATTAAAATCATCCTGAATTTGACATCAGATAAAAATTGTTTTTTGGGAGTATAATTTTGTTACTATACAGGGTGTTTGTGGATTGCGAGCAAATATTTTAACCACTAAGAGAATTTGTTATGAAAAGTCGAATTGACCAAGCAAATTCCGTATCCAAATTTTATTTTTCCAATTTCCCCCCTATGATTTTCACGAGCCGTTCAGTGTGTCTGTCCTTGTTAGTTGGAAGTAAAAATATCAATGAAAATAAATTGCATTGAATGTTGACCGTGAAAGTTTTTATACAGAAAAAAGGAAATTTTTTGTCCAAAAAAATTAGCACTTGTTTACACGTGTCAGTTTAGTTATTCGTTAATGCGCTTTCGGGTGAATTGTGCACATCGATTTGAAATCAAATTGTCAATCAAGTCATTATGGCCAACTACTCAAACGCCAAATTAACTAGTGTACGGACATCGCAGTTCCAAGACCGATTTGCACTAAATGTTTGGGCAGGGATCATTGAAGATCACCAAATTGGACCCCACATATTACCTCAACTTTTAACTAGTGCCGTTTATCTGGACTTTTTGGAAAATGTGTTTTCCGATCTGGTGGAGGACGTGCCCTTGGCGACACATGCGGTATTTACAAGTGGAGCTCCATCAGATTATGCCAAAGTCGTCAACCAATGGGATTGAACAATCATTTTCCCTAGAGATGGATTGGTCGCCAATGACCACCGCGGTCACCAGATTTAAATACGTGTGTTTTTTTGAAGGTTCACATGAAACAATTAGTGAATTAGTGTACGCAGCTCAAATTTATACCTTTGAAGGGCTGTCTGTGTATGCGAACGCAAGCTTTCCTAGCGCGAAGAGTACAAGAAGTATGCATTGCCAACGAATGACCACATTTCGAGCAATTTTTTATAACAGCAAGTATTGACCCACTAACATTGACACTGATCTACGCTAATGTAGCGATAATTTTTTTGTCTTTACGCTGTTTACGTTCAAAAGTTTTTTCTTATGAATGATTGTAAACATCGTATTAAGACATAGGCGGGGACGGGTTTTCAGCCTCAATTTATTTTTAATTTTAACTCAAAAATGACGTGCTTTCGACAAAAGTTGGAATAACGAAAGTTGCTTCTTTTGCCGAGTTCTATTAGTGGTTAAAATATTTGCTCGCAATCCTCAAACACCCTGTATAATACCTTAAAAAATCAAAAACGAGGTGGTACAGTGTTATCACAAAAATTTTAGCACATGCATAGTAATAATTGGCAAAATTATAATAATTGGTCGCTCTACAACCACAAACACGCCGGATATAAAGGCGCCAGGTTTTCTCGAGTATCAAATTAAGGGATTCCATGGATTCTACTGGAATTTTAAAAGTATCTAAACTCGTATGAGGCAATACACATATACAGACAAGTTTTGAAATAAAAATCAAAATTTTACTGTTACAGGGTGTTAGATCCCAAGAAATACCCCACAACAATTATTGCATCACATTATGTTTTATGTTTATACATGTAAAATTCGAAAAACTTCGAACTTAATTTTTTTGTGTTATCTTTCCGAGAATGAAATTGTATGAAATCCATATTGCACATACTCGTATAATTCAGGTAAATGATATGGTGTCTTGCGAACAGTCAACAAAAATTAACACAAGCAGTGCAAAAATCAATTATCATTCAACTAATGTTGAAATCTTCTTAAAGAGTAAATTTAGTTTATGTATATGAAATGTTTGCAGACCATTTGCTACTCGATGTGTATTACTTAAGAAACAAAGTGATGCCATAATTGTTGTGGGGTGTGCAGAACAAAAAAGTTTTATTAAACTTTTTCGTAACTCGCATCATAACTGAGAAAAAAAATCAACTTTCTGTTTATTCGTTATACAAAGTGTTTCAAAATTAAATCATTTCAAGTTTAGAGTGTCGGAGGAGAATCTTATCAGGAGTAACAGTAGTAATACTCGAGATATTTAATGTGATATATTCCTGTTATTTTTTGGCTTTTTAGTGTATTGCTGTTTAGCAGTGATAAATCTTTATAAAATATAAAACTTCCAGTTTCCGCTTTTATAGTCTTAAAGAACGAAAAAAATCTGTAAGCATTTAATAGTTGATTTAAAATTTTGTAATTTAGGTATGTACATCTGTGCGGATATAACGGCGCCAGGTCTCCCTCCTCAAGTGTCAAATTATAGTTAAGATTCCGCAGATTATTATGAAATTTTATAAATTCCTGTCTCTTCAGTCCCTACTGTACGTAAGATCGGATGACTACTAGTGATTTATTACAAAACGTCCTAATTTTGTTAACCAAACATTTTAAAGCACCTGTACGTTTATTATACCTAGTGATACATATTTTTTAGAATACAGTCATAAATGTACAATAACTACACACAAAATTTTAAATTACATCACTCACAAAGTGCTTATAATTGGTGGCGCTTCCAATTGATTTAGGGGCTGCAACATATGGGGAAAAGTCAATGATGCCTATCCCTTTAATGTGTCGCTTCCTCCTCTTTAGTGAGAAGGAATTTAAAATTGTGGAAAAGAGCTGTCGGTACTAAATAATAAATTAATCGTAAGTTAAAGCAGTTATTTTTTAAATGTGTTGCATCTGTAATATACCTACAAGGTTGGTGGTTAGTAATTAAACAGTTTAGCACGTGTTTGTGATTTTAGACAGTTAAAGTTAACACATTTCATATTCAATAAGGTCTTTAATGTTACCCTAAATTATAGAGGCAATTATTTAGGTACTTTAATACCTACAGCAAATTTATAAAGTAGTTTATAGCTTAGTAAATGTCTGCATGCGAAAATATACTACACATTATTTAGCAACAATATGAAGTTTGGATGGAAAAGGGAAGAGTAAAATAAAAACGATTGTAAACAGGTATAAACTTTTTCAAGATAAATTAAAATAAACAACATTGTTAAAGGATTACCTATTTGTTACAACATTTCATTTTTTTACGAAAATTTTCTTGTGAATTTATGATAACAGTTTCTGAAAGTATATCAGGATCAAATTTGTTAAATATGTTTTGGGCTACATCTTCAAAGAGTTCTTGAACACCCTTGAAATAAACGATTTTATGTTTTAAATTATTTACTGTTGTACTAAAACTACAAATCACCTGACCACTCATTGCTGAACATTCATAATACACAGCACCTTCTTCTTTAGCATATTGGTATGCTTCATCTCTAAGTACCTGTTAAATGTCAATTTTATCAAATACATCATCGTACATACACAAACCTCTCTTTGCGAAGTTAAATCAACCTTATTTCCTACAATAGACAAAAGATTATTATTTGCAGCAATAAAATTAACATTGTTATTTCGAAGTTCGTTAACCCAAAATTTAACCTCCTGAAAACTATCTCTTGAAGTGATATCAAAAAAGATGATTGCAGCGTCGGCATGTCGATAATACATGTAAGTTATTCCCCGAAATCTTTCCATTCCAGCTGTGTCCCATATCTATTAAATATACCCATACAACATCTTCTTTTAATTTTTTAATTGACATACTTCAAGTTTTACAGTAGACGATTCTATAAGGAAACTTTTGAAATAACATATTGAACCAACTGTGGCACTTGCACGAGGTTGAAACACATCTTGAATGCAGCGAGTAAAAACACTTGTCTTACCAACTCCTGTAAACATAGATAAAAAGTAGGTACCTACTCACTTAATCATGAGATAAAATATAAACCTGAATTTCCCAAAAGAACAACTTTTCCTGTGATAGAACTCATTTTGCGGTAATATCTACTATTATATTAATAACAATTAAACTTATTTGAAACAAAGTGGATATTTCATAATAACAAATATTTTATTTAAAACTAGTCTTTAAAACTATGATTATCACATTAGTTATCTTATCTTAAACTGCAAAGAGTTGAAAAGACAATAAGCATGTAATGAAAATTAGTCGCATTATTTATTCACATATACTCGTATAATAAAGATAACTAAAAAATATGTGTATGTGTATTTTGTAGAGATCCATTGTAGGTAGTATGTGTTCCAAAAGTGTATTTTTTGAAACATGTTTCCGAAGCGCCAACTTTGACAGCGCATAAGTAAATGCTAAAAGACAAGTCGGCCATAAAATCTTTTTAGCAGTTGTGAACTCGCTTTAACCTATTTTCGTTACACTCTGTATATTTATACAGATATTTATATATATTTATACAGAGTGTCCCAGAGCTCCGTATTTCTTCGATTACTCTGACAGTAAAGAAGATAACGAAATGCGGTTTTTCTAGACGATAGACATTCATTTTTTTTTCTATGATCCAAAAATATTTTAGTCATTATAGATGATTCCTATATAGGGTGGAGCAAAAAAATTATATTTTTTCTTATGGAACACCTGGTATATTATGCGCTTATTTGAAAGAGTTTTTAATTCTAAGAATATACATATCAGGTTTTATGGATCTATCATGGACCGTTTATCATTTATGGGCAATGTTATAAAAAAATGCCATTTTTGGAAAATCGCAGCGGCTTTGTTAGAAAGAAAAAGTGAATAAAAACAATTGCAACAATTTTTACTGAGTCTGGTCCTAAATTATTTTAGTTGTTTTACTGTACTGTACTGTAAAGGTTTTTTTAGTGTTAAAAATCAAGTAGGTTTGCGTTACTTCCTTTTCAAAAAAAGTTGGATGATTTTTTAAAGTTACGTTATCAGTTATCACCATACATCATCAAGTTTATTAGAGAATGTAGAATAATGTGGCTACAGCATGATTTATTTTCATTTTTTGAGCAACATATTCCTAATCAATAGATTAATAGGTTTGAACCCATTGTCTGGCCACCGCGAACTCCAGATTTGACTATAATTGATTTCTTTCTATTGGGGTATGTTAAAGAGAAGAAGAGAAACAATAAAACAAGTAAGGTATAAACCTCCAAACCTTAGGTTTTATATAAAGCTTATTAAAAGCTCTACACGATAAAGTAATAAGATACAGGGTGTTTCATTTGAAAAATTCAAGTTACTTGATATTTTGCGAATGTCAACACTCTGCAGTAGGGGAGGGTGGGGGAAGATGACGCACGGGGCAAGTTGACGAATTTTGTTTTTCTTGACACAAACATTTAATGATCGTACAGTGACCTAACATTTAAAAGCTGCCTACCTTGTAGTTGTAACCTACAGGAATGGATGGCGTTGGATTCAACCATAAAAAAAATATCAGGGATCAAGTGAATTGGATCAGTTCACTGTAATATTATGTGGATAAAACATAAGGATTTTTAAAAAATCAAAAGGTAAGTACAGATGTTTGATTAATTTGTCACATATAATGGGCTCCTTGAAACAAATCAACATTATTGTATAATGTGAAATACTTGATTTTATGTTTAAAGAGTAAATAAACATTTTTAGGTTAACCGTGGGGCAAGTTGACGGGGGCAAGATGACGAATTTGTCAACATGCCCCWTCACTTCTATTTAGCTATTCTTGTGCTATAAAATATTAATTAAGGCCGGTAATTGATTTTTTCAGATGGTGAGACACTACGTTAAGAAGACTGAACGTCGATCCTGGTCCGAAGACGCTTTAATTGCAGCGCTTCATGCTGTAGAAGAAGAAAATATGAGCATTAACACTGCCAGCCAAACATTTGAAATACCTGAACCTACTCTCCGAAGATACTTTAAGAAACGCATACAAAACGAAACACTGCCCAGTAGCGGAGGTAGGCATAAAACTACTTTCAATGAGGTACAAGAAAGAGAATTGGCCGCATATCTTACTGATTTAAATACCAGAGCCTTCGGTCTTACATCAGTAGAATGCCGAAAGTTAGCGTATGAATACGCTGAACAGAATAATATTAAACACCAGTTTAATACGACAAGCAAAACTGCTGGTAAAGATTGGTTAATTYCCTTCATGAAGCGGCAAAACATTAGTTTAAGGCAACCAGAGTCGACATCTTTAGGGCGTTTGATGGGATTTAATAAAGTTGAGGTTGGCAAATTTTTCGATTTGTTGAGGAACCTCAAGGAAAAACATAATTTCGGACCTGATAGGATATATAATATGGATGAGTCGGGGATTTCTACAGTTCCAAATAGACAACCAAAAGTTTTATCTCCAAAAGGTARCAGAAGAGTTGCAAMAGTTGCAAGTGGGGAACGTGGGAAAAATACTACAGTAGCCTGTGCAATGAATGCACAAGGTTCTTATGTTCCGCCGTTTATTATTTTTCCCAGAGTGAGAATGCGACCCGAACTGTTAACTGGATGCCCTCCTAACACACAGGCCATAGCCCAGCAAAGTGGGTGGATGAACACTGACACGTTTGTGCTTTATCTAAAACATTTTATTAAACTGGGAAAACCCAGTTTTATTAATTGTTGACAATCATTCGTCTCATTGTTCGTTGGAAGCAATAAATTTGTGTAGAAACAATGGAGTTATTATGATTGGACTACCCCCCCACACAACACACCGACTGCAGCCCCTTGATGTTGGTTTTTTTGGACCATTGAAAACCTATTATAGTCAAGCTTGTGAAAATTTTCTTATAAATAACCCGGGAAAAATAATTTCGGACAAAGAAATTGGAAAACTTTTCGGTCAGGCTTATTTAAAAGCTGCAACTGTAGGGATTGCAGTCTAAAGTTTTGAAAAATGCGGAATTGAGCCGTTTAACCCTGGAGTGTTTGATGACGCCGACTTTGCACCAGCTTCAATGAGTGAAGGTATTAATCCTAATGAAGTAGACGAAATTAATGAAATGGGAACTGCACGTAGAGAAGACCCAACAAGTGACGATGAACCACTAATTAATTTGGTAGTCAATCCTGAACCAAAGTCGCTAACACCAAATCCTTCTGAGCTAGAGCTTTCCGAATCGCACAAGGAACAAAGTTTCCACAAAAAATCACCGATTCCTGGTGCTTCTGGACTGCAGTCRAGCAAAACATTCAGGGCATCCTCATCAAAGCAAAGCGATATATCTTTTACTGAAATTAGACCTCTGCCAAAATATAATCGTCCACAAATAACGAACAGAAAAAGCTTCCGTGATAACCTCTACCCCTAATAAAGAAGACCTGGAGGAGAAAGAGAAGGCAAAAAATATTAAAGGCGTGAGCAAGAAAGGAAAATATGAAGTTGTAAAACGCAATGTTTTTCAAACATCTTCTTCAGCAAGAAAGACTGCCTCCAAAAAAGAAGAAACTGTGTGTCCAGGATGCGAGGAACTTTATTCCGATCCTCCGTCTGAAGACTGGATAAAGTGCAATAAGTGCTTTTCTTGGTGGCATGAATCGTGYACGAGTTATGAGGGGCGAGGCGAATTTAAATGTGAATTATGTTTGTAATCGTCATCTTGYCCCAATGTGTTCTCCATCTTGCCCCTTAGGTGKGGCAAGATGACTTAAATGCATATGTTGTGTTTTTAATTTTTTGTAGAAATGTTTATAAGAATTATTGATTTCTGTTATCACTGGTTTATAGTGAATTCATTATATGTATGTTTCCAATATATTTTGTTTTTTCAAAAACAGTGTGTTTATTTTTAAATGGCAATTTTCTTTAACCTCGTCATCTTGCCCCTCCCTCCCCTAGTTGCAAAAGATTGATCGAATTTCAACCATAATAATTTAGGACCAGAGCAACCAAATTGTTGCAATTATTTTTATTCACTTTTCCTTTCTAGCAAAGCTGCTGCGATTTTTCAAAAATGGCATTTTTTTTTCATAAAATTGCTGATAAATGATAAACGGTCCATGATAGATCCATAAAACCTAATTTGGATATTCTTAGAATTAAAAACTCTTTCAAATAAGCGCATAATATACCTGGTGTTCCATAAGAAAAAATATAACTTTCTTGCGCCACCTTTTATAGGAATCAATTATAATGACGAAAATATTTTTGGATCATAGGATAAATGAATGTCTATCGTCCAAAAGAAACCGCATTTCGTTATCTTCTTTAATGACAGAATAATCGAAGAAATACGGAACTCTGGGACAGCCTGTAGAAAAAAAATCTGGTGTAAACATCACATGACTTTCCTTATCCCACTTATGTGGAAAACATCCTTACGACAATAATTTAGTGTTGGAAATCCGAGTAGCAAACCTAACGTTTGCGTCAGTGCCACCTGCCGGATTACACGCGAAATAGATGATAGTTGTCACGGGTTCGAGTTGCATTTTTTTTTTAGTTTGGTACCCATTATTTTATTTTATAACATTTTACTGTTTAGTGAGGTATATTTCATGATCGTATAATTTTGCGGTCGCTTTACGGTCGATTTTTGGTCTTTGCGGCCGAACGGTGCCATCGATTTTTACCAATTGTCTCGTGCTGCGTCCCCCTCCTACAAGTAACTTATTTTGTATTCACAAAACTCCCGTGACGTTTACAATGTCAAACCAAAATTTTTGAGTGTATCCCAAACGACACAGATGACTATTATTTATTATTTATTAGTATTGTAATCGGCTGAAATTTGACACAGATTTTTACATTTCTGGACGAATTAAAGCTTCAAGATACTAACAAAGTTGGTTGTGTGTGTGTGTCTGTCTGTAAACAGCATATCTCGAGAACGATAAGAGCTAGAAACTTGAAATTTGGTATGTGAGTTACTTTCGTACGCAGTACGAAACAATTGGTAAAAATCGGTAGCACCGTTCGGCCCCAAAGACCAAAAGTCGACCGTAAAGCGGCCGCAAAATTATACGATTGAAGATACAATAAATTCATGGGGATACAAATTATTTACAATCATGAAAGATACCTTATTAAACAGTAAAATGTGATAAAATAATAATAATAACAATAATAATGGGTAGCGAACTAAAAAAAAATGCGCCTCAGACTCGAACCCGCGCACAATTATGATCTATTTCGTGTGTAATCCGGCAGCTAGCACTAATGCAATTTTTTTCCAAATAAGTAGGATAAGAAAAGTCGTGTGATGTTCACACCAGATTTTTTGGTGTCTTGAAACTATAATTCGTCCAAATCTGGGTAGGACAAATTTCAGCCGATTACAATACTTTCCTTATAGGATAAGGAAAGTAAAAATTATCAGAAAAAAATCAATAAATTTAATAATCACTAAAAAGCAAATATGTATGTATTTCCAAAACTTCGAGTTATAAAAACAGCAAACGCCTAAATCATAAATTAGCTCTAGTTTAAAGAAATTAAAAAAAAAAACTCTGTCATGAAATTTCACCCTCAGTCACAAACTCAGTTAATACAATTTGTGAAAAATTTGCTTCCATGAATAGTTGCTTCAGTGACAGTGTAAAAATGTTGGCATTTTGGTAAAAAATACACATCGCAATTATTTGACCAATTTTCGTAATAGGAATTATTTTAATTTTTAGTAAAAATTGTATAACACTTTTATTAAACAAAATAGTACATTAATGGAAAAAATATAAAATCTAAGATGGTGGTAACAAAATATGTGTTTTAATTATTATTTAACAAATACAATTACTAGAACAATAAAAATATAATATAAATTCTGTCATAATGTTATGATTATGAATTATGATAAACACGGTTAATACTTGCAACGCCTAATAGACGTATAAAAAAAATTATGAAATTCCAGTCTATAAAACAGAATACGTAAGTTTGTTACGTCTTCTTGTATATCACAAACGTTAATTTATTAATTGTCATAAGCTTAAGACATATTGCCCATATTATTACTTTTACGTAAAAAAACAATCACAAATTTAGGATATGGCAGTTAAACAATATATACGGTATTGTTTTAGCAGCACTTTTTAACTGTATTTCCATGGGCTATGCTATTAATACTCAAATTAACCGTTTCCTCTTTTCCGGTATCAGTAGCTTCAAGTTCGCTTGAATTTGCCATTATATTATCAATATTTTCACTGTCATACACTTTCAAATTATGGTCACAACTATTTCCAAGCAGTCTAATCAAGCCTCGAGCAACATCGTCAAACACTAAACCTACCCCCTAAAATAAATACAAATAGTTTTTTTTTCAAAAATCATGATCAGTTACCTGGTCATGCATGGCAGAACATTCATGGTAAGTAGCACCTATACTTTTAGCATATTGTATTGCTTCATCCCTACTTACCTATTAACAAAAAAATGTATTTAAAAAATATAAATTGTGTGTAGGTACTTTTACTTCTCTATTTTTGGCTAAATCACTTTTGTTTCCCACAACACATAAGGCGATTGGATTGTCGACATTCTTTTTAAGTTCAAATACCCATCCTTGCATGCTTTCAAAACTTTGTCTTAAAGTAATATCAAATACTATTAAAGCGGCATTGGCGTTGCGATAGAACATAGGAGCCATTGCTTTGAATCGTTCTTGACCTGCGGTGTCCCATATCTGCTTAAAATAGACTAATAGCAAAAGAATAATACACAAATATGTGTAAACATTACTTGAAGTTTTACTGTGATATCATCAATAAGAAGTTTACAGCTGAAGAATGAAGCCCCTACGGTTGGGGTGATGTGGTGACTGAAGGAATTTTCCACATATCGAATAACTGTACTGGTTTTCCCCACGCCTATTGTAGTCACAGATAAAACAGATAGAGATATCAATTTGAGTATTAAGTATATGATATAATTTATACAGGCTGGATAATAAAAAATGCTTCAAAGCCATAATATAACGCCATTATTTTAAAAGATACGACAAAACTTATTGGAACAAAGTTGCGCTGATAATTGTCATCTGTTTAAATTGATCGAGTCTATCCCAAAAAATAACTCACAATAAACTGTTCAACTTTGAACAAAAAAATATTGTCATATCTTGGCTTGGCGCATTCTTTTTAATCCAGTCTGTACAAAAAATACCTACATAGCTATTTAAATAACTATGAATGAATAAAATACTATCCTACTACCTTATTTCAATATAAAATTAAAAAAAAAAATCACTAATCAATTATTACTTATAATTCATCACATAAAAAAATGAACGTAACAGATAGTGCATTATTTAATAACAATACCTTGATGGCCCAAAACAACCACTTTACCAACAATAGTTTTCATTGTTGTTAATTAACTACTAAAACACCCAAACTATGAAATCAAATCACTACAAATCAGTACACCAATATTGAAAATGTTGAAAAATAGTGCAAATCCTCTTACGTGACATAGATTAGTTCAAGTTTAAAATGAATTTGTGCAAGTTAGGTAAGGTTATATTTTGACAGTGTAATCATAATAAACAGCATATGCAACCAGTAATTCATTTTCTAGAAACCTGTACATTTCATTGCATCTTTCTATTATAGATGTCACTAAGCTATAAACAAAGCCAACTTTATAAAAACTGTTTAAAATTATTTGTTTTAATTAATTGAAAACTGATAGAAGTAAAAAAATAAAACTAAGTCGTACAAAAATACGTAGATATAATGAAACAAAAAAAAAGTCGAAATTAAGTCCTATAATAATAACAGTTTCATTTGTCTGGTTTTATATCACTCAGTTCGTAATAAAAATGTAAATAGTAGTTTCTTATTTCGCTCATAAAAATTAAGTTGGAACTAATTTGTAAAAAATCAAAAAATCTTTTCTTTTAAATATAAAATAGCAACCACTAACGTCTCTCATGAGCGCCAATGAGGACGACATTTATGAAGCAATTGCTTAGCTTCAAGTCTCATTTAATTGAAGCAATGTAAGGTATTTTGCGTCGTTTTTGAGGTTTTATTATATCTTTAATTAATTTTTTCCCAATTAAGTTTTTTTATTTTATAAATGAATTGTTTTCAGACTCATGTGTTATTTATTTTGTAATGCCTTATGGCATAGAACACGTCAAAAAGAGAAAAATATGACTATACACAGTTACAATAGTACATAGAACATATAACAGATAAATGCAAAATTAATACAAACAATACAATACAAACATTTAATAGGTATAAAGAAAACAGTTTATTCAAAGTTTATCTGCGAAGAATTCTTAAGGTTGTAATAGCCTTTCGTTAATAATTTTTTTTTTGAATTTTGATTTAAACATCTTATTTGAACATGTTGTATCAGGTAAGTGATTATAGACACTGATCAGGCTTCCCAGAACACTTTTCTGAGTACGAGTACTTGTGGTGCGGATTGGATCTTGTATGATATAAATGATTTCTCTCATATTTGCAGAACTCGCTCGAATTGTTTTTTACAAAACATGCTGCCTCTAAAATACAGGATGCACCAGAACTCGCGCCTCAGAGAAAAATTTCAAGCAAGATAAGATACCAGGAACATGAAAAAAATGTTGAAAAAATTCTATCTGTCAAAAAAATTTTGACATTTATTTTTTGACATTTGACATTTTTTTATGCCTTTTTAATGAAACTGATGAGCCTGTATATGTTTTTTTACGATTATTTAATAAAGGCACAAAAATTTTGTCAATAAAAGCCACAAAAACATTGAACAGAGTTACAATTTAGGATACAGCTTACTTGTTTCCTCGTCTAATAGCCTGTAGCAAAAAAACTTGGAAAATTATTTCTACAACAGAAATAAATAGAGTCAAAGTGCAAACTTTAAACTCTCATAACTTCGAAATTTTTATAGATAATTTTTTTTACATTTTTTTATGTTCCTGGTATCTTACCTTATATGGCATTTTACTCTGTGGCGCACCCTGTATAGATACATAAGTGTGAGGATAGAATAGTTCTTGAAAATATCTTTGCACGATTCACGGTGTTTTATCTTAAAAATAGCGTGTATACATCTTTTTTGGAGCTTAAATATTCTGTCAACACCTACAGATGTACCCCAGAAAATAATACCGTATTTTAATCGCGAGTAAACATTAGCATAATACGACGTCATGCAGTGAATTCAAAAATTTGACAAAATTTGTTTTTTCAACATTTAATAATATGCATTTTTATTGAAACCATTCCTGTAATTTTAAAATTATTTCTTTAGTGAGTGACTCTAGTTGCTCATTAGTTTGTGCTTTTACTATGACCGATGTATCGTCAGCAAATATTACGACTAGTTCTCGGAGCAATCCTGGTAGTTCGTTCGTATATAAAAGAAAGAGTAATTTAATTTTAATTTATTTAATTAATTTTATAATTTATTACGACCACGTTGTACACAATTCTTTGTTACACATTGCTACGCTTTAACTCTTTAACGAATGAGTTAGCGAACAAAGTATGCTCCAGCAATAACCTGTATATTTTTAAAGGAGCACTTTATTACAAAGGTATTGCATAGTTCTGCTTTAGAATAAAAAAGCTTTGGAAATTTTTTGACTCACACTGTAGGTATATTTCCATGTTATATAAATAATAAATAATAATAATAATAAATAATAATAATAATAAATTTTGTTAATTACGACGAAATAACAAAAGCCAGAATAACAATATGTTTTGGACTATGTGTACGTGAAACGTTTCGACATCGGTTGGCTTTAAGAAACAAAGTTGAAAATTCTTGCTGATTTTTTTTGGGACTTAAAAGCTTTTTAACTTTCAATATAGCTACCGCTTTGAAATTTGGTAATCAACCAAAAAGTTGTTTTCATCAAATTATTTTCAAAGTGGATGAAATTTTAAATTGTACAAGGTGACTCACATAACTTTACGACCCTGACGAACTTTAAATGTAACCAGTAATACCTTACTCAATTATAATTTAACCAATCAAAATGCTGCATTTTTAGTTTAACTAGAGGTTTAACTTTAACCAATGATTGAAAAACGGGCCCTAATAATTATAAACTTAATTGAGATTTGGACATCATTCACAGAAAGTCTAATAACGCCAATCAATAAATAGGTAAATGACTACAATGCAGTAACAACACATTTTTATTTTAGTAAAGAAACAATGAAATGAGTGAAATATTAAAAAAAAAGTGAAATAACTCAAAAACTAAACAAAAACTAGAGAACTAATTAATGCAACAAATGTTCAAACTGATTTACATTTCGCGCATAATGTGGAGGCGCACCATCGTGTTGAAACCACCTTCTTTGTATAATTTCTAGAGGTACATTTTCTAGAAGTAATGGCAAATCGTTTTGTACAAATTCTAAATATCGATTGCCCGTCAAATTATTTTGAAAGAAGAAACATGGACCAATGATATAATTGTCTATTATTCCACACCACACAAAAATTGAAATTACTCGCTCAAAATGAAATTTCCTTTCCCAACGTGGATACTCCAATGACAGTTGTGGCGATTCACAGCACCGTTATTATAAAACTTAGCCTCATCACTAAGGCTCGGATTATATGCAAAATGCATATTTGTCATTAAGAGGTATATTAACAAAATTGTAAGTTTTCTATGCATATCTAATGTTTTTTGATTAAAATAAGCCCATTAAAAATGCATATTTTGGCAACTTGGTACATATTTTTGGAAATATTGCATATTTATGCATATTTTCTTCAAATCACTAATTTTTAATTAAAAATTTCAGTTCAAGTTAAAAATTGGACAGTTTAAGAAAAATAATCCAATTACAAAATATTTTAAGGAGAAAACCGGTAATTCGTAAGCCAAACTCAAAAAATTAGTAGCCTGCTGAGTGTTTCTTTTTTAAATTTGTTTTATACTGGGTGAATATAAAGTATTGAACCAAGCGGTTTTTTTTAAATCATTTGTTTCCAAAAAATAATAATTAATATAAATTAAAGTAACATAAAAAAAATATTTTTTTTAAATAAAATTTTGAATCGTAACAATGCGAGAATTCTGGAACAATGACAAAATGATGTAGGAATAATATAAACGTCCAACAAATAATTTCTCGATTTTTTTTTGCTCAAAACTTT